GAATTTTGCAGAAGGCAAGACTTTTTTCAGTTATATACATATATATTACATTATAACAGAAATGCCTTAAAAGGAGCATAGGAATGTAAATGAAACTTTATATTTATTTGATTCCTCATTTTTTAAATATTCCACAAACAACACATAACTTGGGATAAACAAAGACAGAAAGGAACTAGAACAAAGTCTTGAATTAGATTTTGGGGGAGTGCTCTTCACTCACTAGCTATGTGTTATGGACTCCAAGGTGATAGTCCTGACATTACCTCACAATGGACTATTTTTGGAGAGGGTCTTTAAAGAGATAATTGAAGTTAAATGAACTCATTAATGTGGACCCTAATCCAATATGAACCAACTCCTTAGTAGAAGAGACTGACATATACACAGGCAGAAAGAAAAAGCCGCGTGTTGACAAGGGAAGATGCCATCTAAAGCCAAGGAGAAGCTTCAGAAGAAACCAACCCTGTTGGCATGTTGCTCTCAGACTTCTAGGCTCCAGAACTGAGAAAAGAAACTTCTGCTCTTTATGCCGCCTGGCCCATGATACTTTGTGAAGGCAGCACTAGCAAACAGTATACTGTGTAGTCTTAGGAATTTCATCTCTGAATTTTCATTTCCTTATATGTCAAATGGAAATTATGATAGAAAAATGGGTGGGATGTAAAATAAACAAGCAAACTAACATTGGAGGGGAAATTTCCAAAAGTAGTATTGAGTTATGGTAGCTTTTTAATTACTCTAAAAGTCTGAGAGAAAATAGAGGTATGTTCTGACTTGAAAAGACTAAAAGGTCTAAAACTAAGTAAATGAATGGATAATTATTTAGAGGAAAAATTCCCATGAACATGTTAGAGAATGTTCCAAGGGAATTTTCAATATAATTTGGCCCCCTTTTCACCCAAATTTCAATTTGAATCAGTGTTCCATAGAAACTGCATAAATTAGGACACACCCGTGCTTGTTAAATACTTAAGGTTTGATTTAATAGATGATTTCAGAATGCTGAGAGCAGCCTAGCCCTGCCGTTATTATAATGCATGCATAGGCTGTAGTTGATAATCAGAACTGTGTTGGGCATTCCACTTTACACCTCCTAGGGCACCAATTTTCAGAAACTGTTAGAGCCCAATAGAAAAATCTCACCTAAGATTCATCTGTGAGTTAAATTACAAGGGAAACCATTATCATTCATTTAACATGCACTGTTCATCCAGGTAGTCAGCCAAGCACTTCTGGATCACAAGGAAGGATTTTGCTAGCTTTGAGAATCCTAAGAATGGAAAGAGACATCACTGGTATTTCATCATCCTTTTGATCAATAAATCACTTTTAATTGGACCAAAAGGGACTGATTAAGTCCCCACTAGGTGCCACGCCTTTGTGTCTAAGTTCAGGAGTGGGATTGAAATCCCAGGAGCAGAAATTTAAAACCCGATTGGAAGAGACCAAGCAAATATGAAACAATTGGAAGTCAAATGTTAATCTACATGGAACTTAAGTGATAAGGAATCTCATAGAAGGGCAAGAAAACAGCGTGAGTTTGAGGAAGTGAGTGATACTGAAGGAAGTGGTAAGAAGAATCTGGAAGTGGGAAGTTTAAACAGAAGATACAGGAGAAGTCATTTGGGAGTGGGTGCAGTTTTAGGGAAGGGTGTGTGTGTGTGTTGTGCAAACAGCTCAGGTACTACTTTCTTGGAGGTAGTGTTGAGAGAAAAGATACCCTGAGCAAAGACATGTAAGTGGGAGAATGTAGATACTATGTATAATCATGGAGAGATCTGACTGATGTGAGGAAAAATGTGCAATTTCATCCTACTTACTGTTAGAATTAGGAATATGTTATTTCCAAACCCTGAGAATAACCTACTATATTAATTGTCACCAACTCATTTTACAGACAAGGGAATTGAGGTTTAGATAAATTAGGTGACTTTCAGTCACACACATTAAAGTTTGTCAAATCTTTCATGAGGTTCTCAGGACATAGTGGCCCATGCACAGGTCCCACAGTAGGTATCACAGTTAATGAAAAATGTTGGTGTCCACACCATCCATTTCATGGGCTGGTATACACAACCTGCAGTTGCATTCATTATCTGGGAGGGTATGCCATCCAAATCTTGGTCAACAGCCATTATCTGCGAGGTAAAAAACCAGCACCATAGTCCAGGTTGGGTCTCACCTTGTGAGACTTTGTGATAGGCTTTGTGCTCTGCAACTTCTCCATGGGATCAGACTGAAGCTGGTTTGAAGTTGAGATCACAGTCTTGCCTAGCTTCTCCCTTCTTGTATGCTCTCTCCTCTGAGGGCATTCCTCTAATAAATCAAACCCTACCTCAGATGAAAACATTCCTCAGATATGCCTGCAAATTGTGATCAGGGTACAATATATCATTATTACTAGTGAAAATATTGCATCATGTAACTGTCAGCACTGTGTTGAAGGGCTATTGGAAAGGGATGTGATGGTCACCATTAACCAGCCCATATGTGTTAAGGATTTTTCCCTCATCTCCTTATCTAAAGCTGAAAACTAACCATGCGAGTTAGGTCCTTTGATTATCCTATATTTACTGATGAGGACACTGGGGCCAAGAGAGACTACACATTATTTGCTCATGACCCTACAGCTTGTAACTTGAAAGTGAGAATTCCAACACATCTGTTTTGAACTTGACAATCAGCTCAAAAATTAGTTTGCTTACTGGAACATGTAAGATTCACTAACATAAATTTTGTTAAACGTGTTACTTAATGGGAATGTTTAAGAACCGTGATTTATAGCAAAGCAGCAAATAACTCTACTTTTAGTGTTGAAGTGGAAACCAGATAGTTTGAAGTTGAAACCAAATGATAATGGTGGATCCAATTTAATTTCTTAAGTGGGTCATCCTAAACACAAACCAATTTGAAAACTACTGAGTGTATAAAAGGGTAGGAAATTGGACCATTTGAGTTTGATGTAGGTAGAAGATACAGTGACTGCATAATTAATTATCCAAATTGGAACACTATTGAGGATGTTAGAAGATGCCATTAGTAATTACACAAGGATACCATGCATAAATCAGGTTCATCTAGCAAACTAGGATGTCTGATATCTATAGTAATAGAAATCCATAGGGAGCTGTCATAGATTCTTGAACAGGGATGTGAACTAATTCTGTCACTAATATGCAAATTGATTTTGAAAAATTCTTGAAGACTGAGAGAACATCAGACAGGAGATTGCTCTAGAGATACTAGTGTAGTCTGTCTGAATTTCTCTCTGGCCTCTGTTTCTTTTTCTGGTTCACTGCTGGAAATGGTCTTCCTATCTGGACCTCAATATGTTTGCAGAGGCTCTTAGCCAATATTCAAGTCTCAGGAGATAAGAACTCTGTCCAGGTACACATAACCACTGTCAGATCCTTTGTTTAATCCAGATGGAGTCTGTGTTGGAACCTAAATCTCAGTCTTCTGGCTCTGCTTCCCTGGAATATCTCCATTTCCATGGGGATCCCGTGATTCCAGGAGTTTTGTGATTTTCCCCAAGGACACTTTTGGATGAATAAGAGAAAGGGGGCACACATCCACTGTCTGCCAGGAAGATACTCAGGCATTCTCTTAGATAGATTGTCCCTGTGGTTAATATAAGAAAGGGAATGGAAAGGATTTGTACGGGAGCTTCAGAGTTTTTTTTTGACTTTGTATTCCACAGAATTTGTGACAGTTTTGGGTTAAACTATGAGGCCTCCCATCCTCATGCAGGACCTTATAGTCTCTGTCTCCTTAAGTTTTAAATACTTTCATTACCTTTACAGAGGTAGGACTAAGGTCACGGTGCTAATCACGTGGGTTCAGAGAGGAAAAGGAAAAGAGGACCTATTATTGGTGGAAAGCACTTTTGTAAAAAGGAGAGGATGGACTTGTAATATTAAAAAAAGAGAGACAGGGGCCTCCCCGGTGGCGCAGCGGTTGAGCGCTGGGTTGCGAATCTGCCCGCGGCCTCTGCAGCGCCGGTTCAATCCCCGGCTGCTCCCCGGCCACCAGTGGAGGGTCCCACATGGTGCGCAGACCTCTCCTGCCACCCGCTGCTCCCCTCAGCAGTGTACTTCGGTCCTTCTGCCTGCTCTGCTCCCCGCTCTGGCTCTGGTGAATTCTCTCACCCTCCTGCGCTTCTGACTGTACCCAGTGCATGTATAAACAAAACAAACAAACAAGCAAACAAATAAATAAAGAAAAACATGCCTCTATTAAAAAAAAAATCTTTAAAAAAAAAATAAAAAAAGAGAGACAGAGAGAGGGAATAAAATAGTGTTCCTAGCAAATCTTCAGTCTCTGGAGAGATCAAAAGAAAAATATTAAACACATGGCTTTTGTCTTTTGCAATTGGATAGGTTCGTTTGCAAAGTAGCATTCTGTGCCCTGATCCTCGGGATAACATTGTCACTTTGTCTGCATGTACAAGGGAATGAAGAAAACAAGGAAACTAGAAAATAAGTGAAGCAAATTTAAGGAAGTGTCCTTCACTGTGTGAATGTGGGAATTTGTTTCTGGTTGTCCAATCATGAAGAACTCAACCTTGTGAAATGGGCATAGAGTGTATTTTTGTACTTTACAATGTAGTGACAAGCACACAAACTTTTCACTTTGCAATCACACAGACCTGGGTTCAAATCCTAGTGCTAATCATTTAGTGATTTGGGTGTCTTGGATAAACTCCTAACCTCTAAGCTGTATCTTCTATGTGTATAAAATGTTAAGGGGAAAGAGCAGCCCTTGAGGTTGTCATCTAGTGTAAATGAAGTACTGTGCATCATGTCTCAGGGATGGAATGTGACATTCAGCAAAGGGAGCTGTTGCTCTAATGATTTTAGCTCACGTACTGATTTCTGCCTCTTCTGTGTTCTGGGTTACTTTGTACAGCTTGTTTTTATGGCACCTATGACACTGTCTTGTTTCTAGTTTTCCATACGCTTCCTCCACCAGATAACCTGCTTTTCTTTGTCTTCCAGGGCTGCTCAAGATAGTCATTGACTAGAAAACTCAGAGAATCCCTCCCTTAAAAGGTCCCTGTGAAAAGTAAGTGACTCAGGGTCCATGGAGGAGCTGGCACGGCTATGGTACTGGGCTTGTGCAGATATGTCCAACTTGCTGTGTATTTGCTATTACAGGGACATAGTGCTTGAATATGTTTTGTAATTTCTGTTTAAAAATGTTGATAATACACAACTAGTAACATGCTCATTATTGAAAGCTTGGAAAATATGGAAAATTAGACTCCTTAGCTTAATGATTAGCTTCTTTCTGAGGTTCCTGTGGAGTGAATTTTTGATGGTGACACTTAATGAAAGGCATGAGACCTGGAGACCAGGACTGGAATCCCCACAGAGACCTGTAGATGTAGAAATCTCTGGTCCAGGGACTTTGTTTGGGAGCGCATTTCCTGCTGGGGTTCCTTAACCAGTTTGAAGACGATAATCAATTATGCACACAGCAACATGGAATCTCTCATTCATGGAACCAGAGTATTGGTCTGGAACTTCTGCCATGGGTCTGATCATGCCACAAGATCTAGAGTCCACATATAGACTTATACTGCCTCCTCTGCCCATTCAGACTTCTGGTGTCCAGCCCCTGATTTTGGTATTTGTTTAGTGTTGGTTTGTAAAAGCCTATCATGTTAGATAACATCCACAGTCACAACCACACAGCTGTCTCATCAGTTTCTTTAAATACAATCTCTCATTGTACTTTAGTTTATATACTTTTAACTTTATAACTTTTTATTGTATCATTGTTATTGCGGTAACCTGGTATACAATATTTGAATATAATTTAGGAGTATAGGTTCTCACCTCTTCAGAAGTATGTTACAACACACTTCACCTCTTCCACCACCAAAGCACTTATAATCCTCCACCATATTCCATTGGCCGAGCCCCCCTTCCCTGGCACCCCTCTCCCCACCCTGACCATTTAGCAACTTCAATTCTACAGGCAGATTTCTAGGGTTTGTTTTGGTTTAGTTTTTCTGTTCCTTTGTTTCTCTAACTTCCACATGAATAAACTCATCCAGGATTTGTCTTTCTTCCAACTTTTCTCATTTGGCATAACCACTCCAGTTCCATCCATCTTGTCCCAAATGGCAAGATTTCATCTTTTTAAATAGCTGTACATTCCATTATTTTAAAAATCTCAGCCATTTGGGGACCCTACTCTGCCTTCCACCTATTGAAATAGTCAACCCAGTAACCACATCTGGAAATGGTCCATACTAACGGTGTGGCTGCAGCACATGCCCATTGTATTCCCATTCTGTCCACAGATGAGGAGTGTCACCAAAGATATATCAGTTACTGGATAACTGGATTCAATCTCAGAAAGACTGTCCAAATCAGTCCTTCCTGTCCACCCCCGTTGTCTAGTGTTCTTGAAATCCTAAAGATGTGCTCATGCCTTCCTCTCTAGTGCTCTCAGTCCAGTCCCAATACACAATTCCAGTCTTAGTTCCTGGAAGATGTGACCAATATCTAGCTGCTTTAGACTTTTTCTACACAAGAATCTATCACCACTGTCCACAAGTCTTAATCTTTACAATGTTCTTCTCTTTGCCTTGGATAGTCTGTTGGTTTGGAAAGGTCCTGCTCATTCATTTTTTTGCTTAATCTGAAAGTTTTTGTTGTGGCATTCCTTGTTGATTCTGGAAAATAGCTATCTCTTTCCAATGCTCAGGGCTCTCTGTTTTGTCTCTATTATGGTCTTTAATGTTTGCTGTAATTATCTATTTACTCATCTGCCTCTTCCCACTGGACTGTGAGGCTGTGGATGGCAGAGCGCGCATATGAAGTGCTACATCCCTAGAGCCTGACACATAGTAGGTACTCAGTGTTGGCTGGAGGAATAACTAATGGCTGGATAAAAGATTCACATATAAAATGGCCTTTAGGCTGCTGTGTTTTTGTGATTTAGTGTGAAGTGATAAAGTTTAAAGGGGAAAAACTTTCCTAACTTGTTGCGACATACAGCAAGAGATTTTATTGCTTATTTCTGTTCTCATCTGCCATATGGCTTTTCATTCACAAACTGCTCTAGTGAGAATTACTTTTGCAGGTAATTTTCTAATGATTGTCTTGGGATAAACAAATTTATCAGACTTGTTTGGCTAATGTATTCAAGGAGGTTCACAGGGGAAAAGATTAATCATCTAAGAAGCAAGCCGGTGTCTGTCATTAGGCGGAAGGGTCCAGAGATGATCAGCGCTGAGCGGGTGGTTGCTATGACTGCAGATACCTTTCTCTCCCTTTGTGAGGTCAACGGCAGCTCCCAAGCTGATTGGCTAAAATTAGATTATCCTGCTGACCAACCATGGGGAGTTAATTTCATCAGAAAGAGAAAAATGGTGGGAAATCCTGCCGTGATGCTACAAAGGAATTTTCTTTAGAAACCCAGAGAGTCCTAGTTTGGTTTCATTATAATTAATATGTTCCTTCTAATAAAATAATTTAAGGGAAGCAGACAATGGCATTAGTTTATTATTTTGTATATCCATATAAGCTTTAATCTGGCGTGTCTGAAAACCACCTCTCAACGTTAAAGTAACCTTTGTTTTCCTGTAAGACTTGCATTACCAAATATAAGCTAACTGTGAAAAATACAAAAGAAGTTGGCACAGTTAAAGGTGTTTGATTGCAAGGAATCTACACAAGGGAAATAGTGGGTACAGAAAACTTAGCAGGACCACTTATCTTTGGATTGGGAACATCTTTCCAATTGAATTTGAAGGGAATCCTGCCTTCCAAAGGGTTCCTTCTCAGAACTTGTATATGGCAGACTGGCTTTCTACCTGATACTTTCATTATTCTAGGATTTAATCACCACTAACCTTGATTATTGATTTCTGTACAGGAAAGATACAAAATTAGTTAATCTTGGGAACAAAGATGAGTCTATCTGTATGCTCTGTTGAGTGATAAAACTAAATGACTGTGAAATACAAAGCAGGGAAAATTGGTCTAGGATTGGTTTGTTTCTTTAACACTTATGTGAGTGACTGTGGATTAAAATATGGGTAACAAATGAAAAAAAACCTAACACTGATTATTTTGGACAATATACATGCTTCTCTTCGCATGATTGCCAATCATTAAGTTAAATTGTGGTATACATTTGGTTGTGTGCTGAAAGATCCACAAATAAGGGACCCTAAAGCCCCCTTTCTTGTAAGCCAGGCTCGGGGAGCTGGGGGTTTTTATGTATACAAAAGGTAATGACAAACTTCAAGCAACATAAAATGCATTGCTCAGAGATTGTTTCAAAGGGGAAGTGCTATAGAAAATATGAGGTGCAAGAGAACAAGAGACGATGGGCTGTAATTATCCAGATCCAGGTATTTTCCCACAAGAGAAATACAGGGAAGAAGATGAAGAGACCACCACCACAATGTATGTATTTGCTAGCATATCACTAAAGATTTCAAAATAAAGACAGAACACTCTAGTGCCATCGCACTCATAGTCATGTGCTAAGCTTATCTATTGAGTGCCTGTCTTCTTTAGATCACAGCACTCTTTCACCTACCTGCAAGATGCCTAAGAAATCAGCTATATTGTTGTTATCATTATCATCACATTATAATTAATATGAAGAAGTTGGGCCACAGAGATTAACACACCTGAAGAGCCAGAAATCACCTCTACTGCTCCTTGTTAGCATTTTACATAGGCTTTATCACAATGTGCAAGTTTTCTTACTGTTTTTTTTTTTTTTTAGGTATTATTTATTTATTTATATAGCACTGGGTACAGTCAGAAGCACGGGAGGGTGAGAGAATTCACCAGATTCAGAGCGGGGAACAGAACAGGCAGACTGACGAAATATACTGCTGAGGGGAGCAGCAGGCATGGCAGGAAAGGTCTGCGCATCATGTGGGACCCTTGCCTGTGGCCAGGGATCGAAGCAGTGCTGCAGAGCCTGCGGGCAGCTTCGCAGCCCAGTGCTCAACCGCTGCACCACCAGGGGAGGCCCAAGTTTTCTTACTTTTTTAAACTTGTTATATTATCAAAATTAGTAATAATTTTTGATACTGTAAAATTTTTCACTGATATAATTCACTTTGCTTCACAATTATTGCTGAACTTTATAGACATTTTCAAATTTTGGAGACTTTTTTATGTAAGACTTTCTTCTCTCCATATTTAGGCTATTAGGGCTCATTCCTAGAAATGAAATGTAATGAATATGAAGGTTGTTTGGAAAACTTAAGTTTCAGATTTTCAAGTCAAGAATGAGAGTCCTCATATAGCTGGCCAAAAGGCAAATTTTAAAATGTTCATCATCACTTACTGTCAGTGAAATTCAAATCAAAACCACAATGTGAGATCACTACAGACCTGTGAGAATAGTCCATATCAAAGAGATCAAAAATAGCAAGTGTTGGCCAGGATGTGAAGTAAAGGGAATGCTCTTACACTGCTGGTGGGAATGCCAGCTGGTCCAGCCCCTATGGAAAATAATAAGAAGGTTTCTCAAAAGATTAGAAATGGATCTTCTATTTGACCCAGCAATTCCACACAGCAACATCTACCCAAAGAATACAAAGACACTTAATTTGAAGGGAAAGGTGTTTAATGTTGCACTAGCACAATAGCCAAGCTGTGGAAACAACCTAAGTGCCCAAATGTAGATGTGCGCATCAGGAAGATGTGGTATATATACATCTTGGAATACTACTCTGCTATCAAAAAGATAGACTTGCTGTTTGTAGCAACATAGACGGAGCTGGAGGGAATTATGTTAAGCAAAATAAGTCAGAAGGAGAAAGACAAATACTGGTTGGTGTCACTTATATGTGGAATACAGGGAAACCAAGCCGAGGATCAGATAAAGCCAAAATAACAACAAACCCAGGAAAGCTGATTATAAAACTGAGGCTTCCTTGGTGGGGGGAGGGGAAGGGTAAAAACAAGTGTGATGGGAGCACAATGGACTGTACTGGTGAATTGTGGATATTTTCAATGGTGAGTGTGGTGTGGTAATGACACCTGAAAGGAGAAATCCTGTACTTCCAAAACACAAATAAC